CAATGGTCATGCGCACTGTGAATCAAAAATACAATATATTCGCCTTTGATGAATCAAGGGAAATGTCAACAACCACTGTAAAAGCCAATCTCTCTAGCGGTAGATTAGTTACCCCTCTTAGGCTGAACTATTTGTCATGGTAATTACGATCTATTTTCCTACTTACCTGTAGTCTATCCAAGTACTGTTGAAGATAGTCAGTCTGAACTGATAAACTTCTGGGATATCAACAGTGATCTAACGGAACCCCCATAAGTTACAGAGTATCTGTGAGATACATATACAGTAAAATCGATCATAGATTTAGACACCTAAATAAATGACTTCCAATGATGCACTTCACATTTTTTCGACAAAAGAAGATACTTCATAGCTGATTACCAAAAAAGACGAGTTTTCTCTGTAAATTCTAGGCAATGAATGGAAATATGCTACAAGCACTGCAGGAAAATATGTCTATTACACTACATCCACAGGGGTAAAAATTAGGTGAAGAATGATTTCAAACGAAGCATTGCTATGAAGGCGACCTCTTTTCAACTGGTAAAAATAATTGGCAAATAAAATTTAACCCTGCATCGATTGAATCGTTGCTTCAATCCGAAATCGTTATTTTTAATGTAATGTATTCAGCTGCGGTATCGAAAGCTCTCCCAAAACATCGGGGTTCCATTTGGTCACTCTTTCTCTTAAGGATCGTGGCAATGTTTGTTTGAACACACTTTTGTTCAACCCTCGTTCGAGACGTGTTCCTGCGGCTTATGAACTGCAGGTGCGAAAACACCATGGATCCGTGTCTGCTAATATGGTCCCCTAAGCGTCTTGAAGCAAAGGGCAGTGCAATGAGTTGGTGGTCTAAAGTGAGAAACTGATTTTCTTCCTTTACAATGTGCATTCGCCGTTTCAATCTGGAATCATTATTTTTACTGTAAAATACAATGCTTTTGGCCTGGATTAAGGATATGACCGTACCACAATGAACAATATTGCCATTTCAGATTTTCCCTGATCCTCACCGTTAAAGTAGAAGAAATGAATTTTCTCTACATTTCTGATATGATCCATGCAGAGTCATCTATCTTAGATATTAATACGGTCATTGATCTTCTCCAATGTTCAGAGTTGAATTTCTTTAAGAGTTTATTCAGAGTGAATTTCCTTTAAGCAAGGTGGTGGAGTAGTGGCACGATGTCTGAAAGGTTAGATTCGAACTCCGGAGATGCAGGTTCGAATCCGGCGGAAAAAAACTTTTCATTAACCACGAATTCCCCCTGAGCAACGAGTTCATTACTCGCTGTTCAGGCGAGAGTCGGTCAGTCGGTAGAATCTGACTCTGTACCGAAAGTTTGGCTTTTCTTAGCCTGTCTTCCGTTTGAAGTCATAAATGCGTACCATTCTGTGGAAAGGAAACAGGAGACTACACGCTGTGCATGCCACATAGCCGTTGTCAACTCTACCCTTAATAAGACACTCCTTGTTGATGGTATGAAAACCTAGATCAGCATCCAATCATTAACTTCATGAAAAGAAGGGCATCAGAAATTGTTCCATCATGAAAGCTTAAGGAAGATAGACATTCGAACGGTTACACAGCTTCTTTTTCTTCCTATTTTAAGCAGGCCTGCCTTAAAGGCAAAAAGAGTA